CCATTGCCGTTTCCTGGTCGCACCGTCGCCTGTAGGATATGTGCAGTCTCGGCGGAGGTGAGGAAGTCAATGTCTGGGTTCCAAACAACCTGCGTGAATGCATGGGGCCGGTCGACACTCGCATTGATAGCGTGGTATCGCAGTCCCTCGAGGTGAAAGACGAGTTCATTGCTTCCCTGGGCGATTGTCCTGATGTCACTGACATAGCGTTTATTGTCATCTGGTCGTCCAACACCGCTCCATACGGCCTCAGAGGCTACAATCGCTTCATCGCCAGATGAAACCTCGTGCGGGAATATGACCAGATCATCAATGAGGGCAGGGGGCATGAGGGTGTTGATGGTGGAATGATGACCCCGGTTGAGGGCGACAGTGGCAATCTGTAAGCAGCCGTCGATGGCGGCGGGATGCATTGCATACTGGCTCTGCGGATAGCGAGACTCGGGGGCTTGCAGTCGCACCAACGCCCGGCACTGACGCGAGTCCGCCTTGGCCTCGACTTGCTGGCAGGGCTGGAAGGCAGGGCCGAAGTGGTAGCCGACACGGCGCATGGCCTTGTACCATACGGCGCCTGGGACCGGATGTTGCAGAGGTGCAATGTCTGACGCACTGGGAGGTGGTCGGGGAAGGTTTTGGTTACCAACGCTCACAAGGCCTCGGCAGTGTTCTTCAATTGAGCCATCCTTTGTGATCGTGCTGACCGTGAACTCGTGCCATGACTCCTTGGTGCTGGAGCACGGCTGCAAAGACAAGAGGATCTTGGTACCGCTGTTTGTGTCCAGTGTGAGCATACGGGGGAATGCCACATTGCGCAGTTTGAAAGGGAGTTCGGAGATGGAAGTCCCCTCGGGAATCTGCCCCATTGCATACGTCTTCTGGTAGATGGCTTCGATGGCCATGGCAATGTAGCCCGCCGCGGGGAAGATGACGCTGTCTCCGAGAAGATGGTCGCGCAGCCAAGTGGTGTCGCTGAGCCGCAGCACATTCTTCCATGTTGGATTAGTCCATGGGCTGCCGAGAATCTTGCTGCCAAGGAGGTCATGATAGGGGAATTTGCGGAAGCGCCAGTCGTGACTGGATTCGCTTTCGTGCCAGTACTTTACAGAGTGGTTCCACTGGTAGTTGGGCAGATCCGATACAAACACGGGGGGAGCGTCGTCTGCATCGTCGTTGAATGCTGTCAGGGAAATGGGGTAGCCCATGGTGAAAAGCGTCCCGGCTGCATGTAGCAAGGTTGAGACAGCGTGAGGGCCGCGCTTCCAGGCCGAGCCATACTCCACCGATGAGGAGGCGGCCTTTTTGATCTGGTTGATTGGTCCAGATAGTGCGTCACTTGGCCCAATTTCGAAAAGGCAATCCACGGCCTCTGGCCCCGTTATCAGCTCATGTGCGGCCTGACCGAAGAGCACAGGCGAAACCATGTTGGCGACCCAGTAGGCAGGCCCTGGTGGGTTTTCAAGGGCCTTGCCGGTCGTCGACGACACCATGAGTGATTGCTTCTTGTTCTTATTATGCTCTGGCCACTCGACATGTTGCCTCAACAGATCCTCATATCGCCCAGCCACGGACTTCATATGGCGGGAATGATATGCCGCATCCACGCGAAGTAGTCGTGCAAAGTATCCATCATCTTTGACACGTTCTTCAATGGGGACAAGCTCCGACTTTGTCCCTGAGAGGGTGACGCTCTGCGGGCTGTTAATGCAGGCAACCTCAACAGTGGTACCCTCCAAGTACGGTAGGACCTGGTCGGGTCCAAGACCGACAGCCATCATCCCGACAGGTGCCTCGTAAACGGCTTCGGATGTAGCCTTACCCCGATAATACGCTATCAGAATAGCCTGCTCGGGGGTTATGTGGCCTGCCGCGACAGCTGCCGCAATCTCTCCGGACGAATGCCCGACCACCGCTTGGGGCACCACACCGGAAGCCTGAAATATAGCCAGCACTGCCAGTTGAAGTGCCGTGACAAGCGGCTGAGATAGTTCCGGACGCTGGATCTGGGCACCATCGGCCGTCAACCCTTCGTAGAGCGACCAGGATGGCGGATCATGAGCGTCTTGTAGTATTCTATCCAAGTGCTGGATAGTACGCGCGGCTAGAGGAAATGTTTCAACAAGCCCTCTCCCCATTGTGGGCCATTGGGCGCCCTGTCCTGTAAAGACGAACCCAACCTTGGGCTTCTGGCCGGATATATGGCCTTTATTCAATGTGGGAAGGTCTAGGGTGGTACTGTCCGTGACCGCAAAGGCGCGGTGATAGTGGCGAGATCTCCGTTCGCTCAGGGTATATGCCAGATCGCGAAGAGAGACCTTGACAGCCGGATCGGACAGGTGACGATCTAATGCAGCAGCTTGGGCGTCCAGCGCCTTTTCATCGTTTGCTGAAAAGACTAGAAGATAGGGTCGCGTCGCTGACTGCTCTGCGAATAGATCATCCGTCTCTTCGTTTACATAAGAAGAGACGTGATGGTGACCGAGGTCCTTTGCCTCGTCAATGATGACATGAGCATTTGAGCCCCCATACCCGAACGAGTTGATGCTGGCTCTCCTGAAGGGAACCTTCGGCCAGGTAGTGGCTGTCCGCGACGTATATAACCGCAATGCTTCGAAATCGATCTTTGGGCTAGGATCAATAAAGGTCGGATTCCCGGGAATGACCCCGTGCTCCAAGCTGAGTACCGTCTTCAGTAGTCCTGATAGACCAGCCGCTGGCTCGGAGTGACCAATATTGCTTTTCACCGAGCCGATTCGCAAGGGGCGATCGGGTGCTTGAAACGGCGTGAAGACGGTGGCAACACCGTTCGCCTCCAGAGAATCACCCGCTCTTGTCCCCGTGCCGTGGAATTCAACGTAGCTCGTCAATGAGAGGTCAGTTATGCCAGCATTCTGATAAGCCTGTCGAATAGCAGCCGACTGTGCTTCGGGGTTGGGGCTCGCGATGCCAGCTGTCCAGCCGTCGCTGTTGGTAGCAGTTCCACGAATAATGGCGCGGATAGGATCTTTGTCATTGATGGCATCGCTCAGGCGCTTTAGATACACCATATTGACTGCCTCGGCCTTGATATATCCGTCTGCTTTGGAATCGAACGTGTGGCAACGCCCGGATAACGACGCGGCGCCATTCGCACCCATGTAATGATCCATGACATGCTCCGGGCTGCAGTATAGATTGGCGCCGGCGACAATTGCCGAGTTTATCTCCTTGGACTGGAGATATCTCATCGCGAGGTCGATCCCGATAAGAGCCCCGGAGCAGGCAGTGTCGATTGTCATACTAGCGGGATACTTTATTAGCGGCTTACTTAGGTATGTTCGTGAATGCAACCAACCCACCTTGGCCCTTTGATATTGAGGAAGTGACTGAGGCGGTTGCTGAGCATGGCTCTACCAACCCCAACAACGGTGGCCGAAGCACGGTTCTCCGGGTCGCGCGCCTGCATGTCGCCATAATCACTGGCGAACGAGCTAACAAAACAGCCTACAGACGCCCCGTCAAGTTGCTCCAAAGTGACGCCCGCGTTCTCGAGGCCCTCATAGACAACCTCCAGCAGTTGACGTTGCTGCGGATCCATAGAGGTTGCCTCTATTCCGGAGAGGTGAAAGAACTGGGCATCGATGTCCCGGGGGTCGACATCCTGCAGGAACATTCCACCTGGGGAAGCCATGGTCTGCGGCTTTAGTGAGCCATCGTAGTGGGTGTTCACTGAGTACCGAGTGCCTGGGGGCGTGTTGATCGCAATTCGCCCCTGCTCGAGGAATTGCCAGAAGGCTCGCGGGGTGTGACATGTGTCCGGCAGCCTGCAGGCCATGCTAACCACGGCCACGGGCTCTTGGATGTAGATACTGCTGCTGTTGTGTAACTCCCCGTGATAATCCTGGCTCGAGGCATGGTTTGTGCCCCGGACTCCATTGACTTGGGTATGTCCGTTCATGCTACCGTTCATGGTACCGTTTGTGAATTCAGACATTTTGCCAACTGTATTGTAGAAAGGGTCGGTAGGAGTTGGATAGAGCCACAATGCCAGTATTACCCTCGCTACATATAGTGCAACCAGGCTATGCCATCTCGATGCTCTCCCTGGCCATCCCTGGCATCCATGTAGCCACCGTCCCGTCTCTCTACCCTTGGACGTCCTATCAGATGGGCGCAAAACCCAACGCATTCTGGACTGCAATGGATCAAAAAGCGCATCTCCATGGCATAAGGCTCTGGTATCGCGGAGTCCTCGCTATTCGCGATAATAGTCAAAGATGATCCTGGTCTCCCTAGCACTGATTGGGGGCCAGACAGGGGTATAACCTGCAGAGAGCAAGCCACATGTATGGAAATCAACCCGTATTGATTGCACGACGTCTAGAGTATATCATGGAGCCAGACAAAGGTAGAGCTGTTATGTATGGTCACGATGTAGATGTCTCTTATCTATCCAGCTAAGGGCTTGCGTTCTCCGAACACCCCGAACATGGCCCGCCCCACCCCGGCGGCACCCCGTCTCCATGCACGCATCTCGATTAGGGCATCATTGCTGATTGGGACCGGGGTCCAGACTCGTGCATGCTGATTCATGAATTAGGATCCCACCTAAACTTCGGGTGGCTTCGGGTGGGGGTGCATGGCATCACAAACAAGAGAAGCTACATGAGAGTAAGCAGACGTTGGACCTTCCGCCCCGCGTATCAGACCCCTGGTCCCAACACTTGCAGCAGGGGCTCTGCTTACGAGTGTGTTATGGAATCCAGGTTGATCCATTCATGGCATCTGCTCGTGTGACCGTCCGGTCCAGTCCATGCTGACGACGATCGAAGGAATGGTGGCACCATAGTTCAGAATTGAAACTTACAGTACGGATAATTGCAATTAGTGAACCAATTCTGCAAATACTTTTTGCGGCAGCTGAGCCCAGAGGCTCTCGCAGACGGCCGTTTCTAGTCTGTAGAGCAGTGGGAAACTTGTCCATTTCGCTCCTCTCAGTTCTACCACGTATAGCCTATCTCAAGATGCCTTCTCACCAGAACATCGAGTTCCGCACCCTCGACAACACAGTCCTTCGGGGTTGTCTTTTCCCTGCAGACCAGCGAGGACCAGGAATCATCATGACTCCCGGCGTACGTACGACCAAACCCCCCAAATAACTCCGTTCTCCTAATGGCATTTCCAAGTTCAACGCAACTAAAGAGATGCTGGGCCTCCCAACAACGGCCGCATCATTTCAACGCGCCGGCATCACAGCCCTAACCTACGACCCCCGTGGCGTCGGCCTCAGCGACGGCACCCCCCGCAACGACATCAACCCCTTCCAATCCGTCGACGACCTCTCCGACGCCCTATCCTTCCTCCTCTCCCACCCAAACATCGACCGCTCCCAAGGCGTCGGCCTCTGGGGCATGTCACTAGGCGCGAGCATCGCTCTCGTGACTTCCGCCCTGGATCCACGCGCGCGCTTCACCGTCGCAGTGTGCCCCGTCGTCGGCGCCACGCAGAACCTGCCCAAACTGTCCGCCGTGCTCGCCAAAGCCGCGCAGGACCGCGAATCCCGCCTCAAAGGCAACGACCCCTTCTACGTCCCCATGCTCACGAAGACGGGCGAGAACCCAGCGGGGTTTAACCTGGGCTTTGAGCGCGAGGTGGCGATGAGGCTGCTTAACGCTCAAGACGTGAATGATCCACTCAGGGCGGAGCTGGCGCCGAACCACGTCAACCGCACGACGGTGGGCACGTATCGGAATATGCTGCTTTGGGAGCCGAGCCATATGTGGAAGTATCTCAAGCGCCCGGTGCTTTTTGTCCTGGCTGAACAGGATGCAGTTGTAGGGACGGAGACGCAGAAGAGGCATTTTGAAACGTTGACAGCGGACAAGGAGTTGTATGTGCAGCAGGGCGCGGTGCATATGGATATTTTGGAGGGGGCACATCAGGGGGACGTCAATCGGGTGCAGACGGAGTTTGTGCAGCGTCTCTTGAGGAGGAAGGAGTGATCTCGACTATTAGAGTTCTCTATATCGACGCCAGGGATAAGTCCGTGAGATGTATAGGTTGCCTACCTCAACCCGGAAACCGCAATGTCTTCTAGATGTTATAATAGAAGCAGGATCTATCACCAATCTTCTCCCATGGTTAAACACTGTTACTGCAACCACCCTACATCGCAACGCCAAACCACAACGCCATGCCCAAAAGCCCATTAACCAGCAACTGGTGAAATCCAGCCCAAAGCGCAACATTGACATACTTTGGTGCGAGCACCGTCCACAGAACACCATCATCGCGCCACCAAAGACATGACGCCATCACGGCAAGAGCACTGAACGCGGAATATAGTGTTTGAGAAGTAAGATACTCCAGAAAGCATCGCATTTTGGAGTCTCGACTTTTTGATGCGGTTGCTGCGCTTAGGAGCCGCAGCCCAGCAAGCGACCACCATACCGGACCAATCCAGTTACTTAGGATGGTCTGTAGCGAGACGAGAATAACATTCAGCATGCTGTCGGTGTGCGAGATGCCGTTGTACCCGTTCATCATGTCTAGTGAGGCGAGGGAGTTGCTGCGGCCGCCAGAGAAGAAGGCACTTTGGGTGAGGAGGAGGACCGTGAGGGATACTGTGGAGGCATCTGTTTGGACTTTGGAGAAGGCGGACACTGATGTATCACGCAGGGTCAGTAACACTGAAGCGAGAGGATAAGTTGAAAAAACATACGGAGGCAGTGCAATTGCAGGTCGAAGATTAGAAAGAGGATGAGACTCTTTGGTCGTGCTTGTGCGCGCAGATATACATTGCCAAGCTCGACAATTCCAACAAGGATGGCTAGGGGAAGCAGATACCATTAGCAATTTAGCACTAAGTCAGTCGCTTACTTGGTAAACAGACAAACCTGGACTAGCTGCCTGGCTCACACTGGCAGTCCCTGCACGATGGCGGACAAGCAAGACGATGCATAGAGCCAGTAGCCCACTCCACAATGACCAGAGGGCTAGGTTTCCAACCTCCTCGCTGAAGATTGACTGGAGCCATGGAGGCAGAAACTCCAAGAGCTCTGGGTTGAAGGTATGTGTCGAGCATATCTTGAAAAGCACCGTCAAGCCGCATACCAAGCACGCGCCAAATGTCGAGGCGTATCTTCCAACCCCGACGGCGACGCCGATAGCCTCGGAAAGTGTCCGCACTGCCAGTACATGCGCACCCGCTGCCAGAATCCAGAGCCAGAGTGGACTGTCATCGAGGAAGCTGTGCAGGTATGTGCCGGCTCCCCACGGGGTTTCCCCAGCGGGATTCAAGCTTTGGCCGACAACGTGAAGAAGAGGCAGGAACATTGCACCAACTCTGCTTGTCCCTGCTGTCAACCTGGATAACGGTTAGATATATTATCCATGGTGAAGCGGGATAGTATAGCGGGGTAGTCATACCATCTGAGGCCCAAATACCCAAACCATGCCAGAGATGTCCAATACCAGAAACGGTGCTCCTCTTCCACTAGACGACTAGAGAACATTGTGATACCATGGAAAAGTACGACGGCTCCGGACATTAACCGATGGAGAGCACTCTGCTCGCTTTCCCGAAAGCCCAGTGTTGATAGTAGGAAGACCACCAGAGTCAAAAGGCCTATGCCTGTGGCCATGCGACGCAGATTGAGATTATTGTGTGCCACACCAAGAACTTGCTGGGCGTCAACGCAGATCTGTTCCAGGTTACTTAATCATTCACATGTGCCGCCCAAGGCTAAGTCGACCTACCTCCTGTAGCAACCGGGCAGCATCGTGCGTATTGGGATCCTCACTCTGCGCTGTCACAGAGCCTTCGAAATTCAACCTTTCCCATAGGCACAGAACGCGATGAGCTCTATTAGAACCGCAATGACAGGCACTGTCACACAGATCCAACTGCATCGGTGCCTCCAAGCCATGTTTCAAGCACAGAAGGTTGACCATCTGCCGGGCATTGCGCATCAGGACGCGCACCTGTTGGCTCAAGTCCGGGAAAAGTGCGAGCAATTGCTTGATAACAACACCCACACTTCCGGCAGGAATTGAGAAGCCCAGGAGTGTTCCCAACGTGGGGACAATGTCAACTTGGTCAACAACAGAATAGTAGATATATTCCGGATTGTGCGGCTGAGGGCTCGTGAATGTGTATCCGAGAGATTTAAACTTGGGCGAGATGAAGAGCAGCGCAGAAGCAATCTCGGCCGGTGTATCACCCCCGTGGTTGCCGTTGTCCGTCATCCCGTGGTCGCCAGCTAGGACAAACAGAGTGTTGGCGTGAATGGGCAGATCCTCCAATGCGGTGTATATCTGGCGGACCACATCGTCCATTTCGACTTGCTTTGCTCTCACGATCGAGCTGTAGGACTTGCAATCAGCGGATTATCATACTAGGTAACATATGTAGTAATAAGGACTAGCATACCTTCCAGCGCCCCCAAAGTGAGCTGCATTATCGAGGCCGAGGTAATGCAGAACCAACCCCTTCCAGTCATCCTTGTCGAGTTCGGATGTTAATCCCCTCGTAACGTTGCTATCAACCTCGCTAAAATTCTATATGTGACGAGCACATTGTTAGGTCACATACAATCAAGTCTCCGTTCAACAGATTCGAACTCACTGGTAGATAAAACGAGTCTACGGTCTCATACCGGTCCCATATCTCCGGGTACAGCATACACCACATGTCGATGCCGTAATAGATCATCTTCTTTTCCGGTGCACGCTCCGACTTGAAGCGGGACAACCATGTATCCTCTCCGACGAGCCGCCTAGCATCGGCGGAGTGCATGACATTGAGCCATGCGTCGAGGAAGGATTGCCCGCTGCCCTGGGTCATGGCTTTGATACGTGACAGAGTTAGGGTTGGCGGGGCAGCGAGAGCAGTGAACGGAATTGCGGACCCGGATTTGATGAGACTGTAGGAGTGTTAGAGAAAGAATGGAGTGATGGAGACGCAGATTACCTCTGTGTAAAGCTGAAGCCCGAGTCTTCTCCGTAGACAAAGTCACTAGGTATAGATATGTTAGCCGGCCTTAACTCCCACGGTCGAGATGAACGCGTAATGGAGGTATCGCACCTGCGTAGCGCATCAATAACCATAAAAACGACTTTGTCGAAGGGCGCAGACGGCTGAGAATAACGTTTCTCCTCTCCAGCTCCTTGCAACCCAGTCTGCTCAAGGTCGTTCTCAAATGCCAGCCTCGGAGGAGGACTGAAGTACCCGGCCATGAAGACTACAACGCCCAGCACAATGCCGACGTTCGAAAAAAGGAGCATCATCTTCGCTCGCCTGAAGACATCCATTTTGCACAGCTAGGTGTAGTGATCCCCTCAAGCTCCCTTTCGAGATAGCAACGTACGTTGGCGCATAGCACATCCCGGAGCCCCGACTCCAAATCATGTTTATGTAGCAAGAGCCGCAAGCTCCGGATTTCTGAAAAATACTAGTCCTTGGTAATTGTGTGCCGAAACGCCCGTTTTGCCTCGGATCGTTTCCGCCCCAAGCGCTGCAGATCCTTGCAAGCCACAATTTATGTCAACCTTGGCACACACGCACATATACCTAGTTAGGCAACTGCGAGGTATCGCAGCTGTTGTAGTTCGGACGCTTACCCCTGTACATCTGGTGGCTCCCAGCCAGTCACGTAAACCTGTGAGTGTTGGAGAGGAGTTGGACGCGAGATAGGTGACGGCGGTGCATTGCATGATATGTACAGACATCATGTGGCCTCGACAAAGCGACGCAATAAGCACCCGATATTGATTAGTCTATGTGTTTGCAGCATAACTCGACTGGCGGCAAACCTCGAATTGCAAAAAGGCAACGCAAGTATAATACAGCTTTTGCTTTGCTTACTCCTAGCAGACGGTGCTCAATGATGCAGTGGATGTCCCGTCCATTGTTGTCCTGCGTGTCTTCAAATTGCTGCGCGCGAGCGGAAGACTTGCGAGATTCCTCAAACAGACAGACCATAGCCCTGAATCATGCTGGCCCCTCATGTTTGGCTCATTGGGACTCTCTGGTTTTTGGTATATTTCCTTGGGAGACGAGTCTACCAATGGAATCGTTTGCGGCACATTGAAGGGCCCCCAGGAACCGGGTGGACAAAGTTGTGGTTGCTAAGACAGGCTTGGTCTGGCAGGCTCTGTGACAGCCTCTATAATGCTTGTAGAGAATATGGTGAGAACAGCCTCCCGTCCTGAGAATATTATACAATGACTGATGCCCTTTTCCAGGTCCCCTCGTCCGCATCGGCCCTAAGTGGGTGCTGTGCGGTGATCCCGCTGAGATCCGCCGAATATGGGGAATCAACTCGGGCTATCACCGCTCAGATTGGTACAAGGCTGTCCGTCTGAACAGCGAGGTGGATAATGTCTTGTCGGTCATTGATAATAAGGAGCATCACCGGCTCCGAAGCCACCTCATGCCAGGGTACGGAGGCAAGGGGATCGCAAATGAGGAACAGCTTGTCGACCAACAGATCACAAAGCTCGTAGCACTAATCGAGCAGCGATATATCTCCACCCAGACAGACTTGCGACCATGCGATCTAGCTCGAACGATGCAGTACCTGACGCAGGATGTCATCACGGCCGTCGGATTTGGCAAACCAGCGGGCTACTTGGAGGCGAATAGCGATATACATGGGATCCTAGAAACGTCCGAGGCTCTCCACAGACCCGTCCATATGGTCACCCTGCTCCCGACCCTCAGAAAGATCCTCGAAAGCCGTCTGCTGAAACCATTTCACCCCAAGCCCCATGACCAGAGCGGAGTTGGCCGGTTCCTCGGTCACATCAAGGACCTTGTTGACGAGCGATACGATGACCTAAAAACTAATCATACTGATATCCTCCAGTCCTTCATCAACTCCGGTTTGAGCAGACCCCAAGTCGAGTCAGAAGCGCTTGTGACCGTCTTTGGCGGGACGGACACCACGTCCACTGCCCTGAGGAATATTATCTTCTACTTGTCGACCACCCCTCGAGCATACCGTGCACTTCAATCCGAGATTGACGATGCTGTAAAGACCGTGGCACGCCCGGTGATCAGAGACGCCGAGGCCAAAGCCCTTCCCTACCTCCAGGCGTGCATCAAGGAAGGTCTAAGGATATTCCCACCCAGTATGGGCCTTATGGGCAAGGTGTGTCCGCGTGATGATACGATCTGTGGCATAAAGGTCCCTGCAAATACCCAAGTCGCTTGGTCGGCGCTGGCCATTATGAGGAATAGAACTATCTTTGGGGACGATGCAGACGTGTATGAGCCGCAACGCTGGATTGATGCACCAGTGGAAAAGAGAAAGGAGATGGATGCCTCATACGGATTGGTATTTGCGACTGGAACAAGGTGGGAGTGCTTGGGGAAACGGCTTGCGTACATAGAGCTGGGAAAGACGATCTTCGAGGTACGTGCCATCTCCCATGTATCTACTCCGATTCCTCGCTCTAATTGATTTTCTACAGCTCTTTCGGCGGTTCGATTTCGCCATGGTCGATCCGGTTGAGCCTTTTCGGTGGGCTAACCATGGGCTGACAGCGCATTTTGGTATGAATGTGAGGATCACGGAGCGGGAGGCAGGGGGCGATGTGGGAGTATTTAGACTGTAGAATGATATAAACAGCAATGTTTTTCCTGGCTTCATTGAGGTTTTTCCATGTAGGATTAAATTATATATGATATTAGGACTGCTCTCGTTGTAAACAAAGCCAGGTCAGGTGACAGGACCGGGGGGGTGTTCCCTCTTTAAAGACGTCCTCTCCTCCATCCGCTTTCCCCTCCCTCCTCGATTCCTCCATCTAGATAGATAGAAACTCTCCGCTCTACTTCGTCCTGACAATGTCCAAGGCTCTAGGACTTGCTAGAGTTTCCTCAACGTCTAATTCCCGCACTGATGCGACTGGCAGCACTGTTGACAATGCCACTCCCGCGCCCGCACCCTCTTCATCCGCGGAGGCTCCGCGTCTCACCACCGCCACCATTGCCTGGACCATGATGTCGCTTTGTCTGTCCGTGCTCCTCTCTGCCCTTGACTTAACAATTGTTACTCCTGCAATTCCCGCCATAGTCGGCACGTTCAAGACCGCCGCCGGTTATATTTGGGTGGGAAGCGCATATACCCTGGCCTACGCAGCCATTACGCCAGTATGGGGCTCGGTCTCCGACATCTGGGGCCGGAAACCTATTATGCTCATTGCGGTGGCGGTCTTTCTTGTCGGCAGTCTTGTCTGCGCCCTTGCGCCGAATATGGATGCTCTGATCGCGGGACGGGCGATTCAGGGATTGGGCGGCTCCGGAATGGGGATTATGGTCAACATTGTTGTCAGCGATATGTTTTCGCTGCGAGATCGGGGTTTGTATCTCGCAATCACTTCGCTTGTTTGGGCGGTTGGCAGTGCCATAGGGCCCGTTCTGGGTGGCGTTTTTACGACGAGGCTTAGCTGGAGATGGTGTTTTTGGATTAACTGTGAGGCATTCCATCTAACCTGATGGCCCTAAGCTTACTCCCTCGACCGTATAGTACCGGTTGGAGCAGTCTCCTTTCTTGTCTTGCTCTTCTTCATGAGGGTCCCGAGTCCTCGAACACCCATCGCTGCCGGGCTAAAAGTCATCGACTGGACGGGCAGTCTTTTGATTGTAGGGGGCTCTCTGATGGTCCTCCTCGCCCTTGACTTTGGTGACGTCGTCTACTCCTGGTCCTCTGCAACAGTCATCTGTCTGTTGGTCTTTGGAACAGCAGTGATGGCGCTGTTCGTGGTGAACGAATGGAAGATCGCCAAGAACCCCATTATCCCTGTTTGGCTGTTCACCTCGCCGACAAAGATAGCGCCTTACGTTGTCTTCGCGTGCAATTCATACGTGTTTATTGGACAGGCATATTACCTGCCCTTATATGCGCAATCCGTCCTGGCCGCAAGCGCGCTCACATCGGGCCTCTACCTCCTCCCGCTCATCGTCTCATGTTCCCTGGCCGCGGCTGCAGCGGGGATCTTCATGCAGCAAACCGGGAAATATCTCCCGGTGATGTACATCGCCCAGGGCTTCTTGGTCCTCGGCTCCGGCCTGCTAATTAGTCTCGAGTTTGAAGCCAACATCACCAAACTTATCATCTTCCAGATCCTGGTCGGAATCGGTGTGGGCATGAACATCGAAGCGCCGATTCTTGCTGCTCAGGCTGCGACCAGTGTCCGGGATACGGCAGCCGTCACTGCGACAATGGGATTTGTTCGGTCTCTCTCTACGGCTATTTCGGTAGTTGTCGGGGGTGTGGTGTTTCAGAACGAGATGAATGCGAAGAACGAGGGGTTAGCAAGACAGCTGGGGTCAAACTCAACTTTAGCCCGCGAATTCAATGGCGACCTTGCCGCTTCGAGTGTAGAGGAGATTAACACCCTTAGACTAAGTGCGGATCAAGAGGCGTTGGTTAGGGAGACGTACTTTGAGGCGTTGAGAATGGTGTGGATCATGGTAAGTCACCGCAGCATAGCAACGGTGTCAGTGCAATTATGCTAATGATATGTCCTGTGTACCGTTAGTATGTGGCTTTTGCCGGACTAGCTACCATCCTTAATCTGTTCGTGCGAGCGCATAAGCTTCGGAGTGAGAATGAGGGCGCCGTGCTGGGGGCCGACCGGTCACGGCAACACGGGAGCCCCGCTGCTGGGGTCGCCGAGTTGGAGTTGCGGACTGAGCGAGGCGATTAACGTTGACTGTGGTGCTGACATGCAAACCCAAGGCTAACTGGGTTGGAGTCCTCGTTTGCAGCTACGCAAACATCTACGTAACCTAACCTGGGATTGATTAGGTACTGTCTATACAGATGCAGCCAGTACAATATCTTATGTTCGTATGTACTAGATTTAGTGCATCTAAGGCATATGTACTAGATTAAAACCCGGTTTTCATCTTGAATTTGGCCCTGATTCATTCGTATGCAAGATGTCAGCAAATAAATGAGAGAACAAAGGTGTGCTCTTCAAGCCAATCCATAGGCTTCCTGACTGCTGCACGCGGCTGCGTAGGGCGTCCTATCTCTACCTACAAGCCTGCATCCTTCTACCCAGTCTGATACATTAGGATGGCTTTAAGAGTGGTATTTAATGTGGAAGCCCAGCCGGAGGGAATGATGATTCTAAGCATACATAAAGGGAGTAATAACTCCATAATACCCGAGTAAGGAGAGATAATAAGCACTATCCAGAGACCCCAGACGATGGCAGGCACAGTTCAAGCTCTGGCACTATCTGCAACAAATCTTCAAAAGTAGGATGTAATATGGTGAGAATGGTGGTTAGCAAGCCATGACAACGCTTTTAGGTATATATGAGGTATAATCCAAATTTGCGATTAGGCACATCTCGGGAATAGTTCACATTTGCGACAGACGCAGAGTACATCTATCAGTGTCTAGTCCTGTCCCTGTTCGATTCTTGCCATTTCTTGGACCGTCTCCTTGGCTATCCTGCGTGTCTTTCGATCCAAGGCAGTGACCAAGCTGACCCATTCGAATCTCTCCTTCCAGAACGCCCACCGTTCCTTTGACCAACCTTCGGATCCTGTCCACTTCGTTGGAAATTCTCTTCCCATGGATCCTTCCATTGCATATATCTCCCTGCCACAATGTCTGATCCACTGTGCTGCGGCAGGTACCCACCCATTGAGGGTTCTGATATCAATCTCTTCCAGCAGGTGGTCACGGAGCTCACAATACTCCTCGTCATCATCATCATTGTCCAGATCCTCCAGCTCCTGTTCGATATCTTCATGGTGAACTTTCTCCCAGGGTGCTTTCTCCAGTGTCTTTCTCAAGACCCAGCCACCGTGACGGAGATGACCGACATGATTAGCACGGATGCCCCGAGCATAGAGCTTGGCTGCGAACGAATTGACATTAACCCAAGCTTGCCGCTTTTCATCGCGTTGAGGATCATAATATGGATGATCGACGTCTGCTTTGTCAGTCTGAGCTTGGAGCTGATCTTGGAGAAGACATACAGTCAAAGACAAATTCTGTCATATATTCACTGAGCCCATCCAGTCGACTAAAGGCTCCGTTGCACTCAGTCAGACTGTGCAGCTCTGCAATAAAGTCCACCAGGCGGTCGTTCTGATCAGTGAATTTACCGATAGTTGCAAAAAGGAGAGGCCATAGTGATGTGTAGTCGGGGTCTGGGTTAGTCTCTTGGATGTAGCACGACACTGCTTCTCGAGCTGCCGCGGATGGTGGAGTGGAAGGATCCGCCAAAAGTGACTTGATTGCTGAGAGCATGCTTGCAGGTGCGGGGTATTTTTTCCGGCTCTGTGCCGTGATAAAAGCCTCATATTCAGAGTCCATAATGTTTAGATTTGGAAATGCCGGACAGCTATGTTGATTGTTGTCAAAAGAGGATTCGAAGGGTGGTTCATTTTAAAAGCTTAGTCTTGGGGCTGTGATGGGGTTCTAGTTTAGTGCTATTGTGTTCCGTGTCAGACAAGGCTGAATTTGCCAAATGTTCCTTCAAGGCTTAGCTTTTAGCCAAGAATAATAATAGACTAGTACCTTCCACTGTGACAGTGAAACAAGACATGGCCCCCACATTGGCTGACCCCAAAGATACCTAAGACATGGCGGTGCGGTCTGTGGGTCACTTGATGATGATGATCTTCAACTCTAACAAACAAAGCTGTGCAGGATCATCCATATTCCAGAGAAATTACTGGTTGATCGGACAGAAGGCTTTTGATGGGCCTGAATTGAGGTGGGGGCTAACAGAGTGACGCGCAAACTGAGTCTGAGGCAGGAGTTGGCCTCAAAAGGATTCTCTACATCCAAAGCAAATCCGGTGGGAAAGTCTGTTCAAGGCCACGTTCTATGCGTTCATGTATGTAAACAACTCATATACAAGAGCTTTTAGTTATTTTTGCTGTTTGCTAGAGGCCAAGGCTTGCTTTAAGAACGTAGTCTTTGCCTGCGCATTCTTCTGCTGCAGGCTCTTGCTTCCCGATACTGTATGCATCTGAATAAGGCTATTGCTTGAAATTGGCTCTGCTTTCTTTTTCCTCAGCCCCCAGGGCTAAAGTGATGAAAGTGGGTTGCTGCATATTTGGCCCCTTTTGCCTGAAAGCCTTGGATCTTCACGCAAAAGGCATCAAGATGATAGCTTTCGGCAGATATAAAGGTGTCTCGAAAACCTGCCAAAGATTGTGCTCATCAACCGACAACTACACGACTCCCCAGCAAGATCCTAGTGTTTGAAATCATTCGCAAAGACCTTTTCCTATAACTCCAAGATGCCATCGTTCTTTCGTTCTCTGGCTCTCCATGCCCTCTTGGCTGGTGCTCTGGTGGCCCAGGTCACCAATGCCTACCCCCAACCTGTTCTCGTTCGTTCCGAAGATGCAACCATTCCTCCTCATGGCACTATCAAGACCGAACCAGTCTCAGTGGTGCATTCCGTCGTTGCCGCCGATGGTGAGCTGGACAAGCGTTCGAAGCCTTTGAAAATCGCCCAAGAACCGACTAAAAGCTACAGCTGTCCGGCGACAAATAACTATGGAGGGACCACATACACCTCTGGACAGCTCAAAGTTGCTTTTGTCAGGGCAGCCCAATACGCCAACGATGGCCAACAAATTGGAGACAGTCAGTTTGCAACCAATCCTTAAAGACAACCTTACTCACTGCTACTCAGGAAACTACCCGCATACCTTTGGCAATGGTGAAAATCTTCCCTTCCCCTGCGGCAGGAGCACCATGGAATTTCCCTTGGATCGAGATAATCCGGGCACTGTATACAGCGGCCAGAGCGTGAAGACCTTGCCTGACCGTCTTGTCTTTGAGTTCAAGGATGGCAAAAAGGAGGGAAAGGCAAAGTTCTGTGGAGTGATGCGCCATGGAAACAATGGTGATTTTGTCAACTGTTCCTAAATCTTGCATGGAAGGGACATTGAAGGGAGACATTAGCTGCATATTGGCCGAATTGATTTATTGTTCTATGATCTATCATACTATATCTCAGCCTTGTGTAAAGATTTAAGTAAACGAAACAGTCTCTATTTGTGTTGAGCCAGTAAAATCCAATCCAACTTCAGTATGAAAAGCATAATAAGCGTAAGACTGGAACAGCAAGTCCTCTTGATTGAAGGGCGAACAAAAGGCTCCCTTGGGTCTCAGCATTAAGCCTTGCTGTCTTATTTACTATGGGACGGAAAGTATCGGCATCACTTTTTCTTATATCCGACATTTTCCGAGGATGACTCCCGTGAGTCCGTGACAAAAAAGCAACACTCCTTAGGGAGCACACCGTAACAACTCCAACCAGGGAATCCACCATGTCTTCCAGAACCAAGACAAAAGTGGCTTGTAAGTTTTGTAATCTTCGCCGAGTCAAATGCGATCGAACCGAGGACAGGGCGTGCATCAACTGTCAAGTGGCTGGACAGCAATGCGAGCCGATCATCTCGCGACGTGGAAAGTATTGACACCGTTGCCACGCTGGTTATGATTTGAGATACTAAGTTTGTGGCAGATACGAGCGTTCCAATGCTAAAAATCATCGAAGGGGATCAGCTCGTCGAGCTGTTCACTCTCAAGATGGGAACCGCTGTAGCCCAAGGACTCAACCTCCACTAGCTCGAGAGAGTGCCGGTCCGCATCCCATACAGTATGGCCCATCTGGGGACGAAGCCGGTGTATCTGATCAAGTGCGCAGCCCGGGATTTATCAACAGGACCAATGATTCAGATCGCGGCAAGGAGATGGTGTACTACGGAGACTCGTTCAATCTCAACTACGTCCTACGTGAGATGGGTAATCCGTTCCAAGGCGATTTTGACAGCACCTCCTTTAAACTTAGCATCGAGGAGTTGTATTTGAACCACTTAGGTCAGCAGACGAAGGATCAGCTCGACGCTCATGAATGCAGCGAGCGCATCCGGTTACAAGAAATAGGCGCATTCCAGCGTCTCGACAAAGAGATAAGCGACGCCCTTGTTCAGACGTTCTTCGCTGTAGTCTACCCGCACTGCCCCATCTTCGATCTTTCAGAGTTCCACACCAAGTACAAGGCAGAACAGGTCTCCCCGCTTGTGTTGCAGGCGCTGTATTTCGTCGGCGCGGCTCATTGTGAAGTGTCATTGATCGAAAAAGCGGGGTTTGCCAATCGGTATATGGCTACTTTTACGTTCTATCAAAGAGCAAAGGCATTGTACGATGCAAACTATGAATCAGATGCTATTGCTACAGTTCAGGCCTTGTACCTTCTGTCCTACTGGTGGGGTAGTCCTTTGGAACAAAAGGATATGTGGCACTGGACGGGGCTTGCTGTTGGCCTTGCCCAAACTCTCGGTTTGCACCAGAGGTCAGTTGATATCGCTATTTCCTTTAACTTTATGTTGACTAATTGTTCAATTCAGTAAGACATATGCGGGCTTACCAGAAAGGCAACGGAAGTTGTGGAGACGTATTTGGTGGACCGTCTATGTATGTGTGAACATGACGAACGGAACCCAGCTGACTGGATGATCAGAGTCATGATATCCTTATGGCCCTTATATTGGGTAATACTCCACATGTCAACGAGGCATATTGTAGCGTGCCTTTCCTGTCTGAAGCGGATATTGAGGACGACGAGGAAGACATCCCTGATACGCATTTGCTCGGTAGTCAGACACAAGAAAGTCGTCTCTACATTGTTTATTTTGTAGACCTGGCCAAGCGAAGTATATAACCAACGATCGTCCCCAAACAATGCTAACTTCTTCTAGCTAGTCAGTGTCTCGAAGCCCTCTTCGGCGCCTGCTCGGATGAGTCCAGAATACAAAGCAGTCTTGACAGAATTTCTTCGTGGCAATCGATCCTTCCTCAAGTCCTCCAGCGGAACGGCTCAGCAATCTCCTTGCAGAGTGGCTATTGGACGTCTTTGATCCACCTGACCTGCCAGTTCGTACAGTCAATCCGGAATTAGACGAATGATCGCTAATGCAGAGAGGCAGCACATGCCAAATCCTCCTTCATCGGAACGGCTTCCAGTCCCCAAATAGACTGAGGTTAGGGTCACTGCCGTCTGATGCTGCTGTCAATATTGTGCGGATCCTCGAGGACATGATGTCTTCTGGGGTTCTTATTGTGTCGTGCCTACGAACGTATGCTGTTCATCACTACAGATCCAATGAACCAGAGGCTGACAGACAATCAGGATACCGGCTGTATTTGCCTCCCTAAGTGTCCAGATTGCGAACATTAATGGAAGTCCACCCGATGCAACCGAAATTGCAAAGCATAGAGCGCGCTTCTGCATGCTTGTCCTGAAAAAATTGCGAGATCGTTGGACTCCGCTCCTATGGTACTATTCTCTGTTCTTAGGAATACTACACAAAATGGGCTGTGAAACTCCAGATAACGGGGGACACAGCACTAATTCATCCCATGGTCACTCCTTGGGGGCCTCAAGCGCGGCTGAGCCTCTTCCTGGTACTCTGTGGACACAAGCGCAACGCAACCAGGTTTCGGACATTTCCAGCGGGTCATTCATGGCACAAGTCCTGACAGAGGAAGCTGATTATGGTGCAATGATGGAGTGTTTCCCATTCTCCAGCTTCTTGACTGACAGCATTTCTGGACAATCCGACAACCCGTTTGACCCAGCGGGCCCTTAGCCATGCCCTTATCTCCGGTACCACATCCTCGTCACCTTTGTACGCTCGATCTTCCTCTTCAACTGGAGAATACCATATAGAAGCGCCTCCGGCGTCGGCGGACAACCAGGCACGTAGATATCCACCGGGACCAACCGGTCCACGCCCCGGACAACACTATACGAGTGATGATAATACCCGCCCCCGTTCGCACAACTTCCCATACTAATCACCCACTTTGGATCGGGCATTTGGTCGTACAGCTGTCGCAGCGCCGGTGCCATCTTGTTGGTCACTGTTCCCGAGACGATCATGACATCTGCTTGGCGGGGCGATGCGCGGAAGATGATTCCCTGTCGGTCTTGGTCATATCGGGGCATGGAGGCGGCCATCATCTCCACGCCGCAGCAGGCCAAGCCGAAGGCGAGGGGCCAGAAGGAGCCTTGACGGGCCCAATTGATGAGGGAGTCAGTTGTTGTTCTGAGTAGGTTAGTATGTTTGGGGGCGTATGGAGGATGGCAACTGACAGTATATGGTGTAGCTTGCCGGCATTCTCTTCTTTGCTTTGGTTGAACGAAGTTGGAAGCGAGGAGTTGGTTACTGTGTGCTTTTGCCAGCTTGAGGATGCTCGCAACTGGAATCGTAGCACCTTTGCTCTCGGACGGGTATCGATCGCACAAGTATTTCCATATCGCCCAGATATATCAGGCTTGGAGCACAAGGGTCGGAGCGGTGTATATAACCGAGCTCGCATCATATCATGAACGGATGTACCGAGTTTAATAATAAACTTCTCTCTAAGAACAATATTTATCAAACAAGATCAGCTTCAGAGAGGAGCAGCATAATATAATATACAATATAATTTCGCCGATATGGCTGTTATCCAGCTAGATCCCAAGTCGGCGATATGAGTTTTTGATGGCGGAGGCATATCGCCGACTTGAGACTTCCATCGTAAATCAGACGGACAACAATCCTCGAACTGGAGTCAACAACTGAATAGACGTCAGAACAGTACATTTTTGAGGACGAGCTATGTTTACAAGGAGAAGTCAATTGACCAAGTGTACTATGCGCAGTCGTCAGATCAAAAACTGCCTTGGCAATGCTTCGAGGAGCAGTAGCTTTCTACAAGCAGGCTATATACGCATCCAGGGGCAACTCAAATGAATACGCCAACAATGACCCGGGTAATTAGTGCGAATCTAACAGGTACAGGTGGGACAAAGACAGATAACTTATTTGAATGCTCGTCCATAAATTGAAATTGTTAGTGCTTTCCCGGAATCCTTCATCGTCGTGTAGTAGTGTCCTAATCTTGTCTAGTGTATTGTCCTAGAAACGCAACCTTTATTTCTATGCTTCTTAAAGATCAAATTTCCAATCCACCAATACCTGTTTCAAGGCTATTCATTCATCACCAAACATTCTTTGATTGCAGAAACCTCGTCGGATCCAAACAGCGCCGTTAGCCGAGTATCTTCGAAGCCTGCCGGTTCCCGTGCCCGCCCCGAGGCGTTGATAGGTGTCCACCAATTTCTCTTTGCTGGACTCTAAGTCAAACCGTCAATAAAAGCACAGTAAAATGATGGTAACTACAATAGAATTGCATAATCACTGTAAATCGCAAGGTCTTCACATTGGAATAGGTCACTGTCCATTGTCGGGAGGGAACCAAGAACCCCTTCTAAATGATAGCGAAGACTCTGCGTATTGGGTTGGTAAGGCTTTGACTCCGTAAACAACAACTCGATATCAATGCTATACTGCGGCAGGATGTCCGCGAGAAGTGATGTATTGATGGCCAACGGAAATGAGAATCAGTCTTAGTTCTATGGTCCGCTTAATGCCACAAACCTACAATAACATCTAAGACCCAGGCATGAAATGTGACTTTTACAAACATAGTATTCTCTCTCCCAAGCCTCTGAATAATTAGGAGTAGTTTGGCAATTTTATTCTATTATTGTTATATTCATGGGTCACGTTCTAATTATATATACCCGCTCATATATTCTGGACGTTGTTTTACCGCAGATTGGCAGTGCACACTACGCCACATGTTCATTAACTATCCCACATTAGACCGACGGCATACGAGGGAAGTAAGCAGAATACCTTCTTAATAAAATGATTATGAGTTTTCTTAACAAGAGGGATACAACCACAAACAGATATTCAAGTCTTTGTTTGGCCAATTGCAGATTCGAGTGTGGGGACGGTCCGTGTACGGTCCGGTTCATCAGCCAATTCCGCCAAGCAAACTGGTGTGTCCGGCTCACGGCCCGTGAAGCATGCATGACTTGATCACAGTTTTGTCTTCGATAGGGATATAAATGTCAAGATCTGCGGCCAATTTTGGAGCAATGAAACTCAAATCAAAGATCCTTCAATTTGACTCAACCTCAAATAACGAGAAACATGAACAAGAACGACAGCTTCATCATCGTCGGCGCTGGTGCCTTCGGGCTCTCCACTGCCCTAAGGCTCGCTCAAGATGGATATACATCTGTCACTGTCCTAGATAGATGCATGCCCCCAGTTCCAGATGGGAGCAGTAATGACATCTCGCGCGTCATTCGATTCGACTACGGCGATCCGGTCTACGCTCAAATCGCCAAAGAGGCGTACGACCAGTGGAAGACACCCCAGTACTCCGAGGCGTTTCACCAGACGCCTTGCCTCTGGGTGTCGCAAGAAGGAACCTTGGAGCAACCTGTGCAGCCCCGTGCGGCGGAGTATAGTCGCAAGACGCGGCAGGTATTGACGGAAATGGGGCACGAGTGGCATGCCGTTTCCAGTGTCGACGAGGCGAAGAGACGGTTCCCTGCTTTGAGTGGGAAGTTGGCAACGCCTGGCTTTGACGGGTTTTACAATACTAATGCCGGATGGGCGGACGCGGGACTAGCTGTCCAAAGACTCGCCAGTCGCTGCGTGGCAGCGGGAGTCAGCTTTATTACCGGTCCGAATGGCCATGTCGTCGAGCTTGAGTATGGACGGGATGGAGTAGTTGACGCCGTTCGGACTATCAACGGCAGCCGCATCACCGGCGACAGATTCATTGTTGCCACCGGCGCCTGGACGGCGAGTCTCATCCCGTCTTGGAACTCGATGATGGCTACTGGGCAGATTGTTGGATGGCTCCGTCTGACACCCGAGGAGATGATTCGGCTTAAGGACCTCCCCATCTACTTCAACTTCTCCACGGGCTTCTTCTGTTTTCCCGTCCATCAAGCCACAGGATACCTGAAAGTCGCAGTCCACGGGTTCGGGTATACGTCGCCACATCCCAAAGCTGTATCGGTACCCCCAAGCTCGGCTGTTTCTGCAAGAGCCAACTTCATCCCCGCAGATGGTATGAAACGACTGTTAGCCGGGCTGAGGGATATCTTGCCCGAACTTGCGGAACGGGGATTCGAAAAAGTGGGTCTGTGTTGGTACAATGACACCCCTACCGGGGACTTCATTTTCGATTATCACCCTGAGCACAAGAACTTGTTCATTGCCACAGGCGGCAGCGGACAGTAAGTGGGCGCCGAGTATAGTCGCATACAAAGGATCTGACTGAATCATAGTGCTTTCAAATTCCTCCCTGTCCTTGGGAAGTACATTGTCGGTAGTATCGAGCGGAAGCTTCCGGGCGAACTGCTGGAGAAGTGGAAATTCCCATCACAGTTCCGTGAACGGTTCCGAAATGACGCATTTCAAGGCGATGGCAGCCGTGGAGGGCCCGAGAGACGAGAGATGACACCCCAGGAGCGCGAGATGTACACTGCTGCAATGACTGCATCAGTCCGAAAATGTAAAATCTAGAGGGTCAGGAAGGACATACATATGACCATCGATACTCGTACATGACGCATGGCGTTGATTAGCCTAATGTGAAATGCTTCTTTGCTTGAAATGAGCCCCGCATATCATGCTCCTTTCCTGCACAACGTATGACGTGGCCCAACGACAGTCATAAGAATCACTTCGCACTTCGTATGCAAACACGCCGGACGAGCAATACTCACTCACTCTTATGATACAGAGGGAGAATTACTCTCTGTGGGCTGAGATCTCGAATAGTCAAGGTAGCGGTTTAGAATCATAACTGCTCCGGCAAATAACCTCCAAAGAGAAACCACTCCGCAGCATCAGGCATTGCCAATCCCAGCTCATCAGTATTTGATATCGGCCACTCCGAAGGAAGACAATGCTCAAGAGAGTCTGTAGCGGGTCGAGGCTCTTGAGTTTGTGATCTTGGAAGATCAACCATTACCTCTTCTACTACATCATGTCCTGTCGGTGAAGAGCCGTCCAGAGGCCACGGCACAGATACTCCTCCCATATGGTGGTCGGGCGAAGAACTCGACGCATCGAATTTAGATGCCTTAGCAAAGCTACAGGACGTACCAAAGTCAAGAATATCCCACATCAAACGCTCGTCCTCAGCAGACATGCGAGGTAGATCAGACGAGGCTGGCATGCAGGGAAGAATGCCGGAGAACTCTTCCTGATTATGATACAGTGAACCATAGTCCTTGCGTCGTTCAGCAATTTTTTTCAACCTATCGGCCTGAAGAAGCATCAGCACTGCTATAATTGCCAATTCGGGTTCACGCACCAAGACTCCCATATTCCCCCAGTACGCCGATAAGCCAGTCACGAATGCCACAAGCGTTTCGTAGTCATTCTTGGCCAGGCGGGCAACTTGCTGCTTTTTACTCTGAGAATGCTCCAACTGGATCGTGGCCGCAATCGCGCAGAGATACCCAATAAATGGGTCGTAGAGCTTGAAGTCCACCTCGTTCATCTCCCGCACAAACCGGGCAATCCATCTGGAATGGATGACGGAGCTCTCGAATGATTTCTGCAGAAAGGTAGAAGGTATGTTTTGCCCGTACTGCCGAAGCTTACTCGTGACGACAAATGGGTGGTGCAGCAATGCCTGTATCGAATGGAAGAGAAATTGAACGCATAGCCAGGTGGACAAGTAAGCACGCGAGCCAGGCTCCTCGCGCGCCCGTCGGCAAAAATCGACATTCATGTAGCGGTGTGTATCCGCGAAGTGCGTTTGAAATTGCATCCAGTCCGATTCTAGCCCTGCCCATGTCGAACCTGACTGCCATGGGGGGCATCTATCCTCATCAGAAGGCTCGAACACATACTCTGTGAGCTTGCCCCAGATAGAGGAAAGCCGAATGAGACACGCCAGAATCTCATCATCTACCTTTTTCCCTAGTTTTCCAGGTCCGTCGTACAGTCTACCACATGAGCTGGAGCATCCACGGTCTGTACCAGACGCATTCGGAGAAGGAAAGGGTAATGTGAAATGCTTGTCGCTCAGGCAGATTGAATAGGTCCGGGAGGCATTGTAATTGCGGTCAAGCATGAAAAATGCCCATGTAATGCGCTTCCAGTCTTCTTGATCAGCTGTAGTCTGAAGCGAGGTGTAGCCATCGCTTCTGTTCAGCCCGACCGACTGTAGCGCTCGAAGTGCAAGGGCGACACTATTGTAACCTCGATCTGACCGACCATCGGCGAGATCTAGTTGCGCCATCAGGAACGTGCCCTGCAGGAAAGGAAGACACAGATTGCCTGTTCTATACTGATTGACCAGAATGTTCCAAGCCATATTAGTACAATCAGCTGTATTTGGCGCATATGACCGTAAGTCCCCAGAAACTTTGCTGGCCAGACGAGAGGTGAGCGCGATGAGAGGAAATACCACCTCTGAAGGCAATTTTTCCGCGTCTTTTCTCAGCTTATCTCTGGAGAAGACACAGTATGGCTGGTCATGAAAGTGATCCAGGTAAACCTCTACCTGAGATCTGATGTATTCCGGCTGAAATGGGACACTTAAAATTCATCATTCACACAGTTCATCGCAATGGGAATGAAAATCGCCAATGACATACCATGGCATCCTTTCTCCTGAGCTAGAATTGTCCGTCCTGTCAGATGTTCTATACCCGGCACTGCTTGTCGGCAACCTCTCTCTGATCGGAATAACATCAGCATGATTGAACCCAATGATGAGATGTGTCTGAGCTTGAGGAGAACGTACTGAAGAAGGGTCGTGATCGCATCCAGCCTCTGTTCGATACGCCGGAACTGCGGAGCATTTGGCGCAGTTCCTGGTAGCTCGTCATCTGGGGTGCGTGGTTGGCTGAGTCCTAAGGGAGCTCCCAATGCTGCACCATTGGCTGCCCGCCGCGTGTTGTATGAACAGCGCTGACCAAGTCTCTGATATAGCGAGCAAGTCGGCTTCTCACCTGGGCAACGAGCCTTTTTTCGACTTGACGCAGATATTGCAAGTTAGTTGCCTGCCTCATGGAATTGATAGAATCACGTGCGTAGGTGTGAACGGCCTAAATTGCCCCTCATTCGATATAGAGATACGCACCGGCATGGTCCGCATGCTTGACGAGTACGTTGTACTGATACTTTATGGACAGTATGGTTGTCATTTGCGGCATTCATTACGAATGGAAGTTATAATGGAAGGTCAGATTGTTGCCCATAGAGAGGAAATTTTAAGAGCCATCATGAAAGCTGAAGCAAATCACATAGTTATGATTCTCAGAGCACGTGAGCAGACACCTTGACCAATCAACATCCTCCATAATTGGTAAGCGAGTGGGCCCTCACACGTTTCCAACGCACTCTTAAGAGATCAAGGCAGTTGAACCCTTCACTATGCCACTAAAAACATCTATTGATTTGCAAAATTCAGTTGAGCAAGAACGAGGATAATTCTTCCTATATCAGCCCTTAAAATGCAAGAGACGCACCTCTCATCTCATGGGGGCCTTCTCGCTGATGTCAATGAGCTGATACCAGATATCGGTTATAGAAAGATCATCGCGTCTTCTGCAGACTTTGCGTGCGCTTGATTCAGAATTACTGAAGGTTATGCCCCATTTGCAATATAACTCTCGAGCTTACCCGACATGTATCGTTTATGTACAGTACGACAATATCGTTATGTATGTCTGACCATGCGGCTAATCCGAAGGTTCGTCGTCTCAACCAGCTGAGTTTGCCTGGACAATGTACAGCTGGATGCAATACCGGTGCAAATGTCATGGTATCCCTAGTGATTTCTAAATCGCACTTCTGGCAGGGCATAGCGCGGAAGACGATGAACGGGCTACCGGTCTTCGGGAATCATAGTGCATCAAAAACGCACCACAACTTCCAAGACCTCCCATTGCTATCCATTATTCTGGGCCGTACCAACCCTCAAGGCAAAAGAAACTCCTCACGGCCGAGGGCTACCTGGAATCTAAAGTTCTTAATGCCGGACGATGAATCCGTCCAAACGTCCCACATCTGGCACGACGATTTACACAAAGAAATCATCCAATCCGAATAATCCTCAGAGATCTACAGTTTTATTGATTGGCATGCAACTGAGCTGGCCCCTTTGTATGGTCATACGCTCGAGCCCTATTTCTTAGTTACGATGATTCATTCTTGGATGGATAATTGGACCGCCGACATCTGAGGATATTCGAGCACTTCTTCAGGATGAACCTGAGACAATGGCAAGTCGCAAGGCTGACTCTCTGTTCACCAAGATGTTGCTAGTCGCTCTGTACAGATATTTTGTGCGCAAGAAAAGCAGGCGTCTGTTAAGTCTCTGGAGTATCACCAGACCCCTGCTTTCATCTACTTCTGTTCGCTCGGAACCTTCTTCTTGATGGAGAAGCGACATGCTTACGGATATTGGGGAATCAGCAGCAGGGAAACTGGGCCGCGATTCCAAGAATATCACGCTGCAAGCGAAAGTCCTCCATTGGACCTCTCTAAGGGCATGCTTAAAGAGATGGAAAGGACAGTACAGGTGCAACAACATCCATCATGCTGATGCAAGAGGCACAGGAAATGATCAGTAAGCACTTTTTTCAGGCACAGGGAGTGGTAAGCTAAGAGCAATTTGCCAAGGCAAGAGAGATCATACCTAAGTACATGCGAAACACTGAGGAAGTTAGAACCCGCATGGCTATTTGATTAGTTACTTATTTCGGAAACACCTGGGAAGTCTGTGGTCTAACCACAGCTTCTCTCAAAGGGGTCTTTCCTATATGCTCATCCCAGATGATTGATGCTTGGGTCTTTTAGAAATACTGTATTTCATCCCATCTCCTTTTGGGTCATGCTAAATACAGGAAGTTCCTATATTATTGACACAGCACAGCTAACCGGAAGTATATGTTTACTAGTTTTTCTAAATCGCTCGCTTATAGTAAACCGATTCCCTGAAAAATATACCGTTCGATCCTCAAGCCACTTCTGGAGCAGTGGTTCATTCCTAGTATCGTCCAATGTCAGAGGCCAGACATAACCCTTGACACAACTAAGAACTGAGCTGTAATGGCATGACAGCGAGCTTCCCAACTCTCCTTCTACTGTTAAACTTGGCACTCTTTCTTGACATATATCGTCATGCACGTAAAGTTATCATCGTGATCCTCGGGGAACGGAAACTGATCATAGCACGTTCGGATCATCTCTCTGACGCGAGGGGAGTCTGGATCGGTGCTGTTGCCAATATTAACCAAACAAGACCGTCATAGACGCCAAGGACACGTACAGGGCGTGTTCCGGATCTTCCTCTTTGACAGTACACCAGATGAGAATCGACGGACGGGCAATGTCCGCAACAATCTCCTTGACACAAATGTTAGGGCCACAGGAAAACACGAGGGAGGCATCGTCCATTTCGAGGAAGCCCTCCGGATCTTCGAGCACCTTGATATCTGATTTCTCAAGAACCAGCCTGTCTGTCTTGGAATATCCCGGGTCCTGCACGTAACACGCGACCTCGCCGGTACCTAAATTGCATTCCTGCAGAAAGGTCTTCATCGTTAACAGGAGTGCATGTTGAACGGCTGATCTTGTAGATCCGCAGCACTCCAATGTCGGGGTGAAAGACCCGCATGCCATACCTATCACCTTGGCGATCTTGGTATCAAGATTCAACGACGAGAGGGTGGATTTGATGTCTCTCCATGGTTCGCTCCCTTCCCAGCCCCGCAAGGTAGTGTCCAGGAATTCCAGCCCTGAATTAAGATCCCCCAGGGGTCCAGGCTCAGGCTCTTGGCCGACGCGAGTCATCCAGTGTCCTATTCCCACGCTGCAATACGCCTGGGACAGACTGTATTCCAGCAAATCTTTGAGCCCTGTAAATGAGCGATAGGAAATTTGCGGGGTGGTTCTTGGAACATATCGTGGAATTAGCCAAATTTTTCCTTTCTCGCGTCGTCGAAAAAGGGATAGAAAAGAGATGTCTATCTCACAGCATCCATTCCACCCGTTTCTCCTCTCCCGTGTCATCGTCGGGCTCCCAAAGCGTTTTGATGTCGCCGGTTTTCACAGGCCATTCATACATCGACCCATCGAACGCTTTCACATAAATGGAGTCGCCCTTTTTGAGGGACTTCCGCAGCTGATCGCGCACATCCTGGAGGGAATCGCGGGGAAAGAGCGGTCGTCCTGCTTGATACCACCGGTCGATGTTGGCGATGGCTTCGGATTCAGTGGGTTCCCACTCATCCGCGTCTTTTCCATCGCGAAGGGGGCGATCAATCCAGGCGTGCATGTTGAATGTTGCAACGGGCTGGGTGGAGATGAAGATGATGAGGAGCTACTCAAGGCGCGTATTACCCCGCATGCTGGCTTCATGCAGTACAAGTACGCTGGCTGACCCAATCCGCACATCCATATCAACCCTCCCAATCTGCACACTGGGTTGGATATAGGTAGGCCCTGATCTAACCTATATCTAAATAGGTTAAACATACCCAATCTGCATGAATATCGATAACCAACAAGAGTTCCTTAATTCGAGAAACCCACGGTGTAGCCTGCACTATGTAGGACTTCTTTATTCATTATCAACTGCACTCCCCTCACTCTCGGTTTAATTTAATCAGAGTCTTCCTGGTAATATGGCGGACCCAAGGGGGCTCCCCATTTGCAGTCCTTGTCTATCCTTCCATGGATCCAGCATGGACTCTCAGTCAGAATGCAATCGTCCACACAGGTGATGTCTGACGCTCCAGCCACCTCCCCACGGTAGCAACGTACCACCCGGCCACACTCATCGTAGAAGACAATAAGAACCTTGCCAGCATTCCGGCCCTCGGTTGCCAGCGTCGTCCTATCTGCGTCCAACTACGAGAGCCCAATGGCACACGGTGTAGTCATGCTCATTTTCACTGTAGTTCTCCCCTTCATCCGACTCGGTGGCTTCTCGCAGCGCCTCCTGCAGGCCTTCGTTATATTCTTCTGTAGAGACATGAAACTCCAGAGGCTGTGAGGTGCGCAGGAAGATCTTCTGCCAGCCGACCCCAAAGCCGTATAATGGCGAGACTCCAGCAAGGGGCCTACATTCGGATTAGCCGGTATACAAAGATAACCGTATATATTCTTCTACTTCCTCACTGTTGCTGCAGGCAGATGATATTATGATTTCGCTCCAGACGGACATGGCATCATGCAATTACTGCCGACTTGTTTCTACAGAAACTAGATAATAGCAGTATCCATTTCTCAGGATTTACAGACCAGGAGCACCATATGCTCCTGTAATAGAAACTTAATACTCTCATTGATGTTACAGATTGTACCGTAGAAAGATCACCTACGATCTGGTACATAGTATAGACAATTAAGCCTGGGTGACCAAGGCTGACTTCCAAGTCTGCCAAAAGTTGCTGGACGAAGTGAAGATAAAGGATATTATTCCCTGGACCTCTTCATCATCGTGTTCGCAGTCGTGAGCCAATCTGGGATACCCAGACTCCAGAGCCTCCTCCTCGTCGTCGTACTTGTTGGCCTCGTACGAAGAACCCGACGGGAGTTCCACTTTAATCATCTTAGCCTCACTGGGAGTGCCCTCGCCATTCATGGCAAACAACATATACCACCCTGGAAGAATAATACCAGCATCGTCAGGGAGCCGAGCGGCGTACTTGCTCTGAGGCAATGGCTTGACGTGGAGAGGAATACGACGCTGGTCGGTGTTGACGGTGTGGGTGGTAGTTCCGACACGGACCAAGGCGGCAGACTTGATTTCCGAATTTGTCTGAAATCTCAATACCTGGCCGACGGCGACTCTCGCACCTCGGTTGATGACATTGATGATCTCCGGACGGGTGGCTCTCTGGCCGTCGGCCGTGAAGAGGTATGGTGGAGTGAAGATCTCAGCGTCATAGTGGTTGGCCGAACAGTTACCGCAGAGACCACCGCCACCGTTGAGAACGGTAGCATCTGGCAGCAACATGGAGATACTGTGGTAGACTCGCTTGATGTTGTTGCGACTCAGCTTCACGAAAGTGTCTGTCTCGGGATCATAGATTTCCGGCGTGAAATTGATGTCTCCCTCGTGGAAGGGCTTGCCCCAGGTCTGACCACCAGCAATAAAGACCTTCCCATCCGGAAGGACAACTGAAGTGTGGAAAACACGCTGGAAGTTCATTCCACCTTCACCTGTCCCATCGGGGCCTTTGCCGGCCACCTCGACCTGGGGTGTTTGATAGGGATCTCCCAGAGTGATGACATGGGCATTCTTGGAACCGTAGGAGCCGTCGTAGTGGCGCTGGCCACCGAACGTGAGGATCTTACCCTTGGTGGCGTCGTACATGACGGCGCTGCCAGACATGGAGTCGTGATCGTCTTTGCGTTTTCCGGCCTCTTTCACGGAACCCTTGACCCTTCCCTTGTAATCTTTGGCGTCAACATTGAACCAATGCATCATCTTACTGGGGCCAGCCTGGAAAACACTCGCATCCTTCCAGCCAAACAGCCAGCCGTGGTTATCGGCCCGCCATGCCCCCAGACGGTCGTCGGTCATCATCGGCTCGACCTTGGCGCCTGGACGTCTTTCCCACCTTGCATTCTCCCCGGGAACGTAGACCTCGCCATTCTTTTCGATCTTATCTCCACCGCTCCAGGACCCTCCGATTGTAAAAATGCGACCGTCAGAGAGCGTTGTCGAAGCGTGATATCCACGAGGAATGGCCATGCTGGGGCCTTTCACCCACGCCGTGCCATTGTACACACTCGTGCGCCCAGAGTCAGCACCGCCACTGACGACAATGTTACCGTCGATGTCCATGGAGGTGCCCGGGCAGAACATGTCGTGCTTGGTTTCAAAGACCTCACTCTGCGTGATAATGCCGTCGCGGTTCATGGTGGTCGTCAGGGTCTTACCACCGGGGGAGGCGAAGAACTGGTCGTCCGCCCAGGCCGACCACATGATAATGTCACCATGCTGTTCGACCGCAGCGGACACGGGAACAATTGGTAGATTGATTGTGGGACCCCAAAAGCCCTTGCTGGGTTCAACTTCGGGGAACGTGCCTTCGTTGTAGGAGTAAACGGCAAGGTTGACGATAGAGATCGGCCCATTCTTGATCTGCGACCGGTTGGAACAGGACTCGGTCTCGGCAATGAGCTTGACGAAACGAGCAGGTTTGGGGATAAAGGCCGACATCTTCGGGCTCTTGTTCGATCCCCAGGTACCGTAGGCGACTTCGGTCCACTTTGCGCCGTCCCGAGAGAGTGAGATACGGTGTTCACCAATCTGGCCACGCTCAACACTCTTCTCCAGACGAGGCAGCATCGTCAGACCGGAAACGTAGTACTCTTTGCGCAGATCGACGACGATCCAGGGAGCCTCCCCTTCTTGGGCAGGGTCGCTAAGCCAGTATCTCTCGCTCCGGTCGTCAATGGCAAATTCGCACTCATTGCCTTCGTACTGGCTGGAGCACTGGACCTTCCAGTTCTCAGCGGAGTTCTTTGCATTGGTTTTGGGGATAAGGTCCGAGTCGGGAGGAGGAGACTGGTATTTAATCCTGCCAGACACTGATTGGGCAATCTCAACGCGCTGCGCTTCGGAGGATTCATAGGAGAATTCAGCGGGTTTGAAGGCCTCGACAGCCACTGCCCCCAGGAGGAGACCATGTGTCCACTGGAACCTCATTTTGATGCAGATGAAAGTCCTGCGAGAGTGGATGGGATGAAAGAATGAAAGGAAATTGCTTATAAATAACAGCCGGACGGGAAGTATCAACAACCGCGCGTGATACGTAATGTCCGTGGCTGCCATGGCAGTTGGGATGCAGCTCGCCACCAACACCTGTTCGCTTTGGGATCGTCGGTGGATTTGGGTTGAGATGTGATTAGATTGATTTTTCAGCTCCTATACCATCACTTGTGGCCCAGTATGGAGTTTAGTGGTGCGAATCCTTCCTTGTTGGGATTGTTTTGCATCTCTAGTCCCCTGTATCTCCACCTTCGCGTTGATCGCAAGCTGCGTCATCCCAGGAAGGTCTATATCCTGACTGCATGACGATGATAGATGGTAAACGGTATGTCTTATATGGGTACAGAGTCGATCGACTTGGTGTCTGGATGTGGTGTAGCCCTGTACTGATGGGATGTTGGGTTGGTACCAGCAATGTGGTAAGAAGTACAGCAATCCTAAGATACCGAGTGTGGGTGTTCCGCTTGCCCGGGAACTCGGCAAACCTGCTTCCTCGGCGATGATCTATTACAACTGAGATCGCCCGTCCCGAGTGGTTGACCGGCTGAAGATCATTGCTGATCATGGTTCTAGTTGACGCTTTGTGCGAATCTACCATACGCCGCGAACTCCCAAGTGGACCTGCTCAGCTCCACCATGCGGACGGCTCGGTCCTGATATCCTTCCCTTCCAGTTCCATGTGTCTATCATATTGAGCTGAGAGTTTTGTTCACAGGTTGTCATATATATAATCCGTCTGATTGGCTATTGTCGAAAGTCATATCGCCGGATGCGCATATCTAAGTACTCATGCTATATAGGTTATTGATATACAACAAGATCGGGCAATAGTGATTGCAGGCATTACGTTGGACTCCACTATCCCCACTGTTCAGCTGAAGAAATGCTGCAGTCTGTGCTGATGATGATCCGAATTACTATCAATCGGAATACTAATCTACGGGATGTGATTAGTGTGATCTCAGACACCGGGATCCGCCAGATCAGCGTAGAATCCCACACCCTCCTCACCGTCACCATATGTGGATATCTGACTGATCACATTGGACGTCATCCTCACAGCGGCAGGAGGAGTGGATCAACACGCCGCACATACGACAGATCCGCTTCAGTGTGTGGAGAAAGGAATTGCATCACGATCCTCACCTTGTCTGGGTCGAGGAATCCACAAATCATGGTCTGGTCATTATCGATTGCTTTAGGCCGTGATGTTTGATGCAGTTCCCATTTTAAATGGAGGGATAGTGGGAGGCCAAGGAGGGGGAGCTGAGCTGATCCTGGTGATGAAATCGAATACTCGCACTCAGCCTGAATACAGACATAAAAGGGGCCACCAGTACTCAGAGTGCGTAGCACAACTCATTCCCTTTACAGTCTCCAGAGTACGCATAGATCAAAATGCCTGTCGACAAGCAAGAGCGAGTGGTCGACACCGACAACATCCAGGGCAGCATCTGGCCCCGTCTCCCCAAGTACTATGAATCCTACCTCTTTTTTAAGATCACCAATAAAGAGAGGTTCAGAATACACCTCAGAGATATCCTTGACAATGGGGAGATCACCACCGGCACTCAATGCGAGGACCACCTGAAGTCAACTGGCGAGCTGGAAGAAGCATGTGCAAGCTCCCGACGTGATATTCCCGAAGCAGACCGGAAGCCTTTTACCGCAGTGAACGTCGCCTTCACCCACATGGGCTTGCTCAAGGTTCGCCGCTCTCTCTCCAATTACGTACTGGTTTGATAACTGTGTATATTGATATGTTGACACTTTCTCAGGTGGAACCTCCTGGAGTTGAAGCAAAATTTGCCGCGACTCTGGAAAAGGATCCGGATGATTATTGCAGGGATAGGATCAACGAAGGTCTTTTCGAAAAAGGAATGTTCGATGACCTCGTCTATGAAGGTGCCGATAGCCCTGCTGCTTTGCATCCGGACTTCAGGGCTCCTCCCGGAAACGAAACTAAGCAAGACCTTGAACGTTGGGAGTGGAGAGTCGACGGTGTTTTCATTGTCGCTGCCCACACTGCGAAAGCTGTGCGCAAGAAGGTTTATGATCTGGAAGATGCCTTCAATGTTGGGGATGCGAATCGGGCCAGTATGAAGATTGCCTTCAGAAGAGATGGCCAACAGCGTCCTGGTGCAAACCGTGGCAAAGAGCAGTACGGTTTCTCCTACTTTCATTTTATTGTCTGTGAATGCTGCTGATTCTATAGCTTTGGTTACGAGGATCACATCTCTCAACCAAGGATTAAAGGCCTGGATGATCCCCCAGCCAAGGGTGAACCCCATGCCTGTCCTCCTGGGTGTGTCAGACCCTGTTAACAGCTCGATTGTTAATTGCCCGTTAACAGGACTTAGGTACATTTTTCTGGGCCACAAAGGTGACCCGAATCTGAAAAGAGGCCCTGAGTGGGCTAAGGAGGGCAGTTTCCTCGTCTTTCGTCAGCTCGACCAAAAGGTTCCCGAATTTGAAAGGTTCCTCGAGGAATGGGCACCGCAAGTCCCAGGAACCAACTATAACGGACCCAATGGTGCTGCGAAGCTGGGTGCTCATCTGATGGGACGATGGAAGAGCGGTGGGCCTACCATCCCCATATCTTGTTATGATCCACCGACTAGGCAAGAGCTAATCGACAATCAGGAGCCCCTGTCGCCAAGGCCCTTGATGAGGACAATCCAGACTTGGCATTCGACAACAAGTTTGATTTCAGACCCAAGAAGAGTATCAAAGGTTGTCCGTTTGCCGCTCACATCCGCAAGATGCGTCCTCGAGCCGATAAGAAACGTGATGTCGGGACTGAAGAAGATGGCGATACCACGGAGCTTCCGGAGCCAGACAGTGACGAGTCTGAGGCCGAAGGACAAGAAGAGGATGCTAGTGTCATCCTCCGTCGTGGTATCACCTTTGGACCTGAACTCACCGAGCAGGAAAAGCGGGAGAGGAGAACAATTGAACAACGAGGGATCTACTTTACATGCTACCAGAGTCTTATTCGGGACGGGTTCAACTTCCTCATGACTCGTAAGTTTACCATATATTCAATCATCTGGAATCTGCCTACGATGCTAATAAATATAGGCTGGGCGAGTAACTCATCCTTCCCTGAGTATAAGACCAAGACTTTCCCCGACGGGCCTGGTATGGACCCCTTTGTCAACCAGAGACTCCGATCCGATCATCCCGAGGGTCACATAAGTTTATATGATGGAAGCAATCCAGACAAGACTGTTAAGCTTAATCTTGGTATCAGTCCGTGGGTTGATCAGAAAGGTGGTGAATACTTTTTCACTCCTTCCATCAAGGCCTTAAGGGAGCAATTTTCAACTTCCGTTCAGGTCCAATAGCCAAGCTATAAGATGCCGCTGGAAATTATGGAAATTATTTCCACTTCTCTAGCTGAGAAGTGGAAATAATAGGTAGAAGAAATCAATCAGGACCACCTCTGAGACATTGACTCTTTCAAAGTGCAGCTCAACGATTCACTATAATCATACTAGGATGTGGAGGAAACGATCTTCAGAAACGCAAATTTTATATATTCAGAGCTATAAACTAGTCACGTAATCAATAGGCAATAGTTAAACGTCAGATCTAAGATGTCCTAAGAGAACCAACAGGAGATAGGAACAGAGAAAGAGACAGAACAGATTTTTGTCTAAAATATTGGCCTTCAACTCCATCAAGAGACGTGTCAATCTCGTATACTCCGTACATCAGGTGCCAAGAATCGAACACGAGTGCCAAGAACGGAAGATGATTTGCATATCCTCAAATTAACCATCTAGAATTCTATGGCATGTGGCCGGCAAGTCAGGGGCTTTTGAGGTTGTGGAGAGCGACTGAGAATAAGCCAACAACAACACCTGACAGAAGTCGGGATCACACACAAGGGCCCAAGACCTGCAGAGAGCACTCGACTGTATCTAGTTTTCTTTTGAACTTGAGATACACTCCCCAAGATTCTTCAACCATGCCACGAAAAAGGAAGTCCACAGTGGATGCAGGCCAGCTTAGAAGAAGCGGCAGGTCAAAGCGAATAGCAGTCGATCAGGGCTGTTCCAGTATCGGCACCCAAAGCAGTTCCAATATGGATCATTTCGCCCGTATGCATAGAGATGTTTTGAATCTCATCTTACATTATCTCTCACCTGCGGATCTCACTTGTTGCGGGTGTGTGAGCAAAGGTTGGAGAGACACCATACACTGGTGGGTAGCAGCATTTGGATTCCGTGTCCATTTTCCGCATATTATCTGGGATCTCCAACGAGGGCCAAACACCGCAATCTGGGAGGCATTCAAAGTCCAAGGTGGGTATTTATTTAGTCTATTATACATTCTGATGCAATCCATACACAACTTAAGTCAAACGACACTAATTCTTTGCGCCTTTCCTCACACACAGCCCGTCAACAACATTGCATTCAGTCAGGAAAACCATCATCAATACAAGAATTCAGCTTCCCGAGTTACTTTGATATGACCATCGTGGGAAACTTTGTAGCTGGTCGGAGTAACGCACACGAACTGACTGTATCTTGGCATCAACTTGCTGTTCCGGGTGGTGCAGTCGTGCATACTAAAGAAGTTCCCCTCAAGAAGGTCTGGAAGGTTCATGTGGTCCTGATGTACCTTGAGATGAACCAGGAGGGCATGTTACTCCTGCGGCTCAGGGAGACGGGGAAAGACCGTGCCAGGTACGTATCGTAAAGATCATATAGTACAACCTATATGTCACTGACCAGGTGCGCTAATTGTCACGATGTCGATTAGAAGTGCTGTCTATGCGCCAATGGATGGCAAAACTGTCTGGCGGCAAGACCACAGGCACAATGACCCAAGGTATGGGGTTCCAGGCGAGCTCACTCCGCTCTTAATAGGGAGGTCTGTCCTGCATTGCGCGAGACGGGGTTCTAACCGTGACACTTTTGATCTTGTTGGCATCGACTTCCGAGCCAGCAACCCCACTGTTATTTATGAGTCATCCGTCGTCGGGCAACGAAACTGGGCCCATAACAAATCCTGCAGAAGGCTTGTACTCATTGGTGAACAGCATGAGCTAGTGGTGCTAAGTGGTAATGAGAAGTGGGTGGGAACGGGGACGATATCGATTCTTAATGGCGAAAATGGCCAGGTTCTCTTCCAGTTCGACGGCGGGCCGGCCCATTTCCATGGCCATAAAATAGTGGCGTATCCGACTATCAACCAGTTTTCGATACAAACAGTGCCAGCACGCATCCGGCTGAACGATGCTGTACAGCCCTGGGAAGCCCATCCAAAAGTAGTGCGGGACTTTATTATCATGCAGACATTTTCATTCGCTTTTTCTGGGTCTGGCAGCGGCACCATCAGCATACACAGGTTGGGCACTGATGTGGTTCTCAGCCCATGCAGTATTCACAAGATTGCCATTCAGCCCTTTGCAAAAGTAGCAGTTGCGCTACAATCCGATGATAACACCATTCTGAGCGACCGGATTCTGAGCTACCCACTTGTCGAAACAAACGAAACCCATCTGATCCAGATGGCGGAGGCAGTGCTGAAAGCATCATGTCTTCCACATTCAGAACCCCCGAGCCTGCGTCACTGTTTTATTCTCCAGGAACCGGGGACCAAAATTAGTCTTGGGTCATCATTAAGCCAACCGGGACCGCTAACCCCTGCACGGGATATTCGTATGCGTTCCCTCGAGGGTTTTGTTGATGGTGGACACCTTTTATTGGAAGCTTCTGAGGCCCAAGTTCTGCTGCAGTTCTAGGTGGATCTTTCAACCATAACTGCGCTTTAATCCCCACAGAATTGACACAATGGTCAGTGCAGGATGAGTATCATACAGAGCTGATGCCCATAGGATCCTGTAGGGATTGATTAGTTGCCATTGTGCCTGGCAGTGCTGCTGCAACAGATGTTTACATACAGGGAACTCATCCCTTTTTTACTCTAGTATCTGATATCAGTGCTCTGCGTGCAACGATAGGAAAAAACCAGAAGTCCACATTGTAGCTATAGTCTGGTGTAGAATTAGCCTGTCGTTAGTTGTAAACTGTCACTGCTTAGTGCATCATTTAACTGTCATAGACATGGTCCCAGTTGTGGTCGTCGCCGTCATTCTGCCGTTCATCAACTTGAGCATCTCAGCCCTCTTCTGCTCTTCATCTGGTATCTGACTTGTCGCTGCAAGGTTTTCCTGAAATTCCTTGCGCTTTTCTTCCTCGACACGAGCTGCCTCCCTCTGCTTCGTTGTCACCATCAGTCAATCCAATAGTACCAGCGGTCTCGACAACGATGTCTTCTTGAAGCGGGTTGTCTTCTTCAAGGGGGTTTTCCTCTTCTTCCATTCTCTTCCTCTCCTCTTCCCCTTTTTCTTCTCGGCTTCTCTGTCGATCTTCTCCTCTCCGATCTGCGTCCCGCTCTCATCATACACGGGTCTGTAGTACTCAACTCCGGTCTGGTTTCCGTTGTCATTGTAAACGAATTTGCAGTACTCGTTACTGTCAGCAGTCCGTTCTTGGACCTTCTTGAGCGGCTGGATCCATTTCCAGGGTCAGTTCAGGTCAAAAGCATCCGAGCGAGACACTTACACTCTTACGGAGAACTTGGATAGTGGGAAGCCTGTAGATAGGTGCGAAGTACGAGACAACGTATGCTATGTCGTCCTTTATGAAGTCAGAACTTGAACCATAGCTCAACGCTTCGGAGAACAAACCTCATCCGCTTTGTACGTCGACCAGCCCTCAATGTTGGCCTTTGCAAGGGACGAACCACTACCTCCAATCTTCCCCACACCGGTGGCTGCAAGGGCCAAACCCGCGCTGCTGTCCCGGCTATGCGCGCTTGGCATAGCTATGGCACACTCCTGGGTTGACCATGTCTTTTGGATTGCCCACAGGCCGTACTCTTTGATATCGGCACCATGGACGGAGCTCACAAGCGCCTTTGCAGTTTCCTTGACCCATTCCTCGAGCAGCTGTGTGTAAGGGTGCTCAAAACCCTCATCTATCACTGCCTGGTCGGTAGTAAGTGCCGCTTTGCCGGTCTTGCCTCATTTGTTCCCTGCATTAGCTGATACATCCATAGGGGCAGCAGTCAGGGCCCCTGAAAGTCCTCCAGTGAGCCCGAAGCTTGCTTCAGCTTCACTTCCTGAGGACCCGGTTTTCACATGCTTTCATCTAGTTTTGTACGCTGCAGGGGCTGATCAAGCCCTGTGGATCCCTTGCTTTCAGGATCTCCGGGGACGGAAGTATCGGTAATCAGGTTCCACTTTCCGTGACTGTCGAAGTACCCGATCGCGCCGGGCTGGAGCTTACTAAATGGTTGAGGTTTATATAGATAGTGACCATCGCCATTAGGCTCTATGAGCTTGGCATACTCCTGGTAGATGCTGCCAGTCAGTTGATCTCTGTCGGTCATTGTGGTAATCGTAGCGAATGCGATCACTGCTTCCTGCATGCAGGGAAGTTTGTGGATGATCTCGGACGTGCATTGATGCCGTTGCTTCGGAGATTAAAGAGGCATAGCCTTATGACTTTAAGGTATGCCTTATGCAGGATTATAATTATATTGCACTTATTGATATGTCTAGATGGTATCTTGAGGCGTGCGTCCAACATCAAATTCTTGGTGCTAAGGGATACCTACGCGAGCATCAGGGAAACATCAAGCATCTATTACTTTATACTAGATGGTGCATTAGGACAACCTGAGTGGCAAACTATCAATTTCACGGTTTCATAATCCTCGAAACTTCTGTTGGACAGAGATCAGTACAATTAACCACCATATTGCTCTGACACACTTCTTTGCAGCCAATGCATGTCGCCTCGGAGAACGCTCACTTGATGTGGAACCCTGATGATCCTTCAACATACCTGATTCGCAGTAAGTTATTTCTGCTGAAAACGACAGTGATAGAAGCCGAACAGCTACCGCAAGGCTCAATGCACCATTTTCGCCCCCATCAACCAAACTGGGGGTTTAGAAAATTCTCTCTTATGACAGATCTGGCGCAACGCCTTGGATACAGCAGCCATTCGTCCATTCCGGAGATTGGGATAGTCAATCTAACCGTTTATCTACGGACCCCACGAGTACAGGATATTTATCTCCAGTATGGGTGCGTCTTGTTACGTGATCACACAATCACTGTGCTAATTACTGTGTAGGAACATGAGACAGCCGGGCAGAATCCTAGTTGGCCTCGAAAACAAAGCCAAAACGGGCTGGTTGAACGTCCTACTACAGACCTACTACCATATCAATGCCTTCAGAAGCGTATGTTCATGGAACACACGAATTCGTCTCTTAGAGATTACTGATGTGTTATTAAGATGGTATATAAAATTCCAACAAGCTACAATGCGACCGCAGACATTGTCTGGGCGCTACAACGTACTTTCCATGCCATGCAGATATCTCAAGTTCCAGTATCAACAGATGAGCTAATATCGGCAATGGGCTGCAGAGTGGGAGAAGCACAGGATGCTCAGGACAAAGCATTGTTGATTCTCTATCTTCTCGAAAAGGGAATGGAAGCAAGGGAGGTCGGGGGCAATTTGAAGCGCTTATTCGAGGGCCAGTTGTGCACGTACCAGTATGCACTGGACTCTTATCAGGGATCTTCAAGATGTGAAATGTTCTGGGATCTCTCATTGAATATTCGCCCATATCGCTCATTAGCTGAGAGCCTTCGGGATTACATTCAACCTCTCGGCGTTGAGGACAGCCACTTGCTCGGTAGAGGGCAGAGGGGGACCCAAGTGCCAACAATCGATCGGTTTCCACCTGTCCTTCATCTCCATCTCAAGCGATATGAATACAATCTGAAAGCTCCCAGATTCGTCAAGGATGACTCCTTATGGGAGTTCCCAGATGAAATCGACTTGGCCCCTTTCCTATCTTTTTCAGCGGACAAGTCGGAGCCCAGCATCTACCGACTTTTCGCTGTCATTACGCATGAGGGTAATGAAAATGGAGGCGTCTACTATGTGTATTTGCGACCAACTGGGGACGGGCCGTTTGTCAAGTTCCATGATGAGCAAGTGACCCCTGCATCTTCGGAGGAAGTTTTTGATACCAACTTTGGGGAGGACTACGGGGACATGTATGGGGCATCCAAGTCAGCATACATTCTATTCTACTGCAGAGTCTCAAGGCTGCAGGAGCTTTTTGGGGATATTACAGATGCAGATCTTCCATCTTCTGTTGGCTACTGGGCATCCTCACATAGGTGTCGCGGCTGAGACCGATGACTTGGAACCAAATAACAGTATCATAGTCAGTTGATCATGACTCAAGAACTCTATGCCTCTATGGCCAGGTAACCTGTGTTATTCTACATAGGGTGTCATGGGTTAAGGTTGATAGTCTACGTGTGCTCCAGGTTTAAGAAGAGGGTAGATTTTGACAACTTGTTGAGTTCAGGTACAGCCTACCAAAACTAGCACTAAACCTTAGTAATTTTAAGTCCAAGAATTAGAACTTAGAACCTACCCTAGCCTAGTATGATTTACTGTGAGTATTACTATAAAGATTTAAACCTTGTATGGCTCAACTACTCATAAGCTCCTGGTAAGCAAGCTTAGTACACTCGGCCCGGATGATATTCTGGAATGATCTGTTATATTCTCCTGCCAAGAACAATGTCCAAGACATCAAACCTATCTGTACCATCTCACAGCGAAGCCATATGTCTATTGAGTTTCCTGAGCTGATTATGTCGATCTGGATCGTCCTTTGGTACCTCCTCCGACATCGTTGGTATCAAATGAGTCGCTTCCTTAGATCTGCGGTGACGGGTAGCAGCAGAATCGCCATTTCGAAGAAAGAAACTCATAATCGTCCGAGGATTATATTATAGTTGGTTATTGGTACCGCGCGAGTGTCCAGCCATTGCGTGAACAGATCCACAAATGTGTCCCGGACGTTGGGGTCAGATGAAGGACAGTGGAAGAAAAGAGCGCCTTCACTCTGCGTGATCAAGGTGAGTTTAGTATCTGAATCCACTTTCTGAAGACACTCCGTGATGTCAGATAGGACTGAGTCGATGAGAGGGATGGGCATAACAAGTTTAATATGAATCTCATCTCTGTTTTCTGAATCCATGCTTTATCATTAACGGAGCGGGAAGGCTTGGTTGTATATGTGGTCTCCTAGACATCTATACTTATAAGCTGGGTGGCAACAGGCCTAGGTAATTTAGACATCAATGGCGTCGCACTCCTTGTTTGAAAGATGTTAGTGCTTATGGTGCCTATTACATGAGATACCTTTACCTAGAGTGATTGGGCGGCAACATCTTAGTGAACAGCACAAGTGCAGCCTTTTTTTTCGGCCAGACATTCCGAGGTAGGCCAGGGTATAAGCACATTTGTGCCAACCAAGGCAAAATTACAAAATTGCTTCGTCTTGGTAGGCGTGCGCGCAGGTTTTCATTCTTTGATGTCAGTGAGCCTGGTGAAATGACCTTGCTTTTGAGAAACAAACAGGTACACATCCTAGTCACAAAGATTGCCTCTCGAATGCCGCCAAGATGAACAATTGGTGGGGCTTCCAAGCCACTAACTATGTCTTTTTGGCTGATTGGTTATATTTATTTGTTTTAGGCAGTAGTTCATGTATGTTACTCTCTGTATTCATTCCGTATTGATATTCTATCTAATCAGATCAGGGCATGATTATGGGGCGCGGGTGACTCACAAAGTATTCACCTTTGGCATTATTTGGGGGTAAGAGAGGCTGACAGCTGGTGGATGTTGCCCGTCTTGACTATTGTGGCTTGAGAGCCCCGACACCGTAATGGCCTACTCATTGTCAAGCGCATTGTGTGACTAGCAGGGCCCCTTTACTATGCACAGACGTCAGCATTGACGGCCATGGGAAAGCAACGTCACTGTTTATCACCGTCTGATCGACCTCCTGTACACAGTCAGTTACAGGGTTGGGGTTTAGGCGACAGGGCTACCTTCTGTAGAACCAGATGGGCCGGCTGTCAAACGATTAGAAAAATGCTACTTCTGAAGGATCGACGAAATTAACTTCTGCGGGCTCGGTGGAGATTGACGATCCATGGGGCCTGCACTTGGTTAGAGTACCCACCGTTCAAATCCTTACTGAACCACCAGCGTGAGGAAGCTGTTGTTCCTCCTTCGAGTCAATGGTTTGCGCAGCCATTGTAAAGCTTGATCGGATCCAGATACTGCTGGCCTTGTTGCTTAGAAATGTATGGTATAGAAAAGAGATATGCTTGTAAGTCGAGAAAGGAACCGTGGAGAATTCGGCCACAGTATGAAATTTATACTCCCGGCAAAGGAGGTCCCTCACAGCCTGTGTCCGAATACCTATACGTCTAGCTTGGCTAACCATATCCGAACTCTACGAGCGCGCTTGACTGTTGTGCAATGCGATCCCCTGGATGTACAGTTGTCGAAGTTCAGGGGACTAGTATGTTTCCGTCGGAATATGTGGCCATTCCAACCGTCTCCCGCGGATTTGAAAGTGACCTGCATGTGGGAAACAGACCACGGATGTCCCGGCTCCAAAGTCATGCCCAAGGTGATCCGGCTTCGCCTAAAGCGACGTGGGCTTATCTTGGATATTCAAAAAGTACGACGCAGCCAGAATCGGAAGGTACCTTGCGCCGTAAGAATCCACTCCGAAATGAGCTCAATGCCGATTAGCTAGAGCACGACCCCTCTGCAAGGGATCTAAACAGCCCCAAAAGTACCATATATATAGTAAGAAAATCGTAAATCAAGTGCAAGCATGGGGTGGCGTGCTCTTGCGAATTTCTTGGTTCGTATGTTGTCATAACTTAAGATTGGTTTTATGCAGGGGTGACCCCAACTGGCTTTCATTGCAGGCAGATTAGACGTTAGACTGTTAGACTTCCTGATCCGTGTTTCAAGATGTAGTATGCATTAATGGCCGGATCCTTGGTCCAAGCTGCCCGCATTCCGACGGCGACCGAACGATGAGCTAAACCAAAGACAGGTTGATATAAGTATAAGGTACATTGATAATACAAGCATTGATAATATAAGCTACTGCAAGCTTGTATTGGACGGAAGACATACTAGTATGTATGTATGTCAGAGTGGAGCTGCTGAACAACGATCTAGATTCTCCCTTGACTCGTTCATCCCGCAGATGATCATGTCTTCAAGTTCCTTTGAAGCAACTTACATTCGAGTGTGGTAACAGGAAACTTAGCAGGTTACAGGTGACACCACCCTTCAGAGGAGTTCAGGTAACCTAAAGTAGGTTAGACTACCCTTAACAGAAAAATTATAAATACCTCTACTTATTTAATTTATTTCATGTTCTGTAATAATTTTTAAACTTTTATATATATTCTTATTAACCTAGTTATTAACTAGTTAGAAATATTGTTACTTAATATCTTTAATTATCTTAAGAATAATTTAATATTAATTAATAATCTTATTAATTTATTACCTTTTATAATTATTTCTAAGGCTAAATTATTATTAGATAAATTATCTAATAAGGTAGATAAAGATATTCTATATAATTATAATATTATAACTAGTATTGCAGAAGAAGTAGTAAGAATAAACATATATCTATATAAACTAACTATAACTAGTTATTAACTAGTTTATAGCTAATACTAATTATCCCTATTGTCAAGGTGCGGGCTAGTAAGTAAACAGAAGTAGGTTAATAAGGTAGTTGACACTCAGGCTGGCTACAGTGGTCTCTATCTATCTGTTTAGGCTGCAGGGCAGGCTGGTACAGGCAGGCTCTATAGACAGGATATAGCTCAAAGAGCTTTAAATAGGTTTTAGAATTATGCAGTAAAGATATTCCTAAGGTTATATAATTCCTCCTTAGTAATGCTAACTCCTATTTACAGCAGCACTATGACAGTACTCCCCTCCTTAGGGTTAAGCTCTATCAAGATCATCCCCTGATTTAGGTTTGCTTAGGTAGCAGTGGTGGAAATTAGCTATAATCTCTTATGCATTCCTTAGGTAATGGGCGGGTTCCTTAGTAGGGTTGTCATAGCCCAGCTATTTAATAGTATACTTCAGATGGGGGCCCTATCAGCCCTGGCATTCCCAGCAGGAGTCTAAGATATCTTTAATAATCCATTCTTCTAGACCTTCAACTTCTACTAGTGGTGGTGGTGGTTATCTTTATCTAGGAATAAGGTCTTTGGTAATAGGGCATAGCAGGCTAATATTAAACACAGGGTAAATTCTCATAGAAGCTGGTAGTTCTAGCTTATAGGCATGCAGGCTGATAATCTTCTTAATATAGAATAGCCCTATATATTTCTAGTCAAGCTTCTTCTAGGGGTGTAGGGTCCTGATATTTCAGGCATCTAACCAAACTAGTTATCCCACATGGTAATAGCAGGCAGGTCTCTAGTAGCAGTTTGTCTGTTCTTCATAACAGGCCTGGGCAATGCGGATCTGGGCGCAGATATAGTTAACAATATCTTACATTTTCTTTGCAAAGGCTTCAGCATCTCTGGCAGCAGGGTGATTCACAGGCTAGATAGGTTTAAACCCTATATGTGGGTGGAATCTATAGTTTGTGAAGAAGGGCGAGATTCCAGTAGCTTTAGATCAGACAGAGTTAGAGGCAAACTTAGTTAATAGTAGCCAGTCAGTCTAATCATCTTATAGGTAAGTAATATAAGCATATAGGTATTATTCTAGGATGGCATTCATTCTTTTAGTTTAGCCATTAGTCTTAGGATAATGAGCAGTAGACAGCAGGTTCTTAATATCTAGGCATTAGGTCAGGTGCTTCCAGAATATAGTAATAAACTAAGGACCACAGTCTGATACTATTATTCTTAGCAGGCCATATAGTTTCTATATATAACAGATGTATAATCAGGCTACACCTTTAGCATCACAGGTAGCCTAGCAGGGGATAAAGTGCCTCATCTTTATAAGTTAATTAATAATAACTAGTATAGCATCATAGCCTTAACTAGGTACCAGACTGGTGATAAAGTCCATTAAGATGTCTTACTATGATTATTTAGGTACTAGAAGCAGGCATAGCACTCCTTAGCAGGCTTTATAAGATGGGGTGGATTAGCAGCAGGTATAGCAGTTTTAGGTCTAGTAATTAATATATTAGTACATGCCAGGCTAGTAGTATTCTTATGCTATTAACTTATATAACTTATGCTTTCTAGGGTGTCTAGTAGCAGGCTTATCATGGCATTCTCACAATAACTAGGCTCTCAGCTCATCATGGT